ACACTGAACTGTGCGAAACTGAACTGTGCGACACTGAACTGTGCGACACTGAACTGTGCGACACTGAACTGTGCGACACTGAACTGTGCGACACTGAACTGTGCGTAAAAGAACTGTCCAATTGAACAAACGCTGATTTAGAAAGATTTATATATGGGGCATTCTTTGTCAAGTGGGCCACCCCCCTCCCCAAAATTGGTTTTACTTTAAAAATTCGTATAAGGGCTTAAAATTTAGCTTAACATGTCTACTTGTATTTGCTGTTCGGGGTGACGCATTAAAGCATATGCGCGTTAGAATGCGATTATTAACATTATGTTCAGTTCGGATTCTTTTCTGGATTTTGCTGATATGGGCTTCGCGTAATGGTCTAGAACACTCTTGCGGACGGGCGAGTGTTTGTATCGACAACCAACTCAGCGTGACCCTACACAAAGGCCCATGTCAGCAAAATATAATTTTGTGTTTTTCTGTATATACGTTGCCGTTCGTGATCCGCCGTTCCGTCCGCCGATCTCCAATGAGCCACGCGAACGCGCGCTCCGCGCATGTCCAATGCGCGAGGTGTCTTCCCGGGCCCTGTGACTACCAATCACGCCAGGAGCCCGGGGGTCACCTCAAAATGTTCGAATTGGCGATAAATCATTGGTGATCGTCGGAGGAACAAAGGATCCTGCTTCATCATAAAAGCAGCAACCGACGGAACCGCGAAGCCTTTTCTCCTCTGTTTTTCGTTGCGACAACACGTCCATTTTTCTCGTGCGAATTACGAGCCGATTTCTCGTTTTCGGTGAACTAAAGGCAACAGTCTCGCGAAATTCTTATCTGTAATTTATTGTGGTTGTAAAGTAGTGCCAAATATACATTGTCACAAAAATTCGTGGATCTCGTCCCTAAAATACTTCTCGTCCAGCGAATACCCTCGAGGCTTCCCGAACAATTTGGTCCTTCGAGCCGGATACCCGCTGGCAATCGCGTGTTCGGGAGTGTTCAGGTGCCGTCCTGCGTACCGTTACAAGTTCCTGGAACAACGAAGCATCATGAGCATGGATCTAGCCGCCCTGCTGAGCGGGCAACACGACATTTATGGCCGCATCACCCGGTCAGTGGACAATCTCAAGAAGATGGGCGCAGCGAACATAACGCTCTGCGCCGTCGAAACACGCCGCGCAATCCTCGATCAGCTGTGGGTGAAGTTCGAGGCTCACCACGAGGCCATCCGTAACGCCTACAAGGAACAGTTCAACGAGAGTGAGTACGTTAAAACCAAGCTCTTCGACACTGCTGAAGATGCATACGTACAGCAGCGAAGTGTGCTCACCGATTACGCGAACGCGATCGCAGCCGCACAGCTGCCGACGAATACGGCTAGTCAAAGCGCGGAACAATCGCACAAAACCTCCCTGCCTCGTATAAAGTTGCAACCGTTCTCAGGCGCGTATGAGGAGTGGCCGTCATTCCGCGATCTCTTCCTGTCCGTCATCGGCAATAATTCGGCCATCTCAGATATCGAGCGCTTCCACTATCTCCGATCGTGTCTGCAGGGCCAAGCTGAAAGGTTGATCAAATCATTAGCCGTGACGGCCCGGGAAAAAATGGAGG